CGTAGTGATACTGCCTCGGAAACCCAAGGAGGGGTCGCTATGAGTCGGGGCCGACTCGATGGCACATAACAACAACAACAACATTCCTCTGGTCTCTCATAGTTGCCTGTAGAAACTGGAACTGAATTTATATGACGTAAGCCACCGGGGGGGCTGCTATTCTCAGAGTCATAATTTCACCTTAAAAAAAAATTTCTTTAACACAAGAAATAAACCAAACCTTTCCTTTTAATCAAAGATGTGAATTAAAATGCACAATGGCTTTAGCTTCACATTATATATGTCGTGACTCTGGCTCAGATGAGAGGAGCTCCAGTTTCATGTGCTGTGACTCAAGTTAGATGCCTATTTCCAAGGGTAATATTTAAAGATGGACATATGCCTTGACTAGAGCCTTTAGCACAAGAAAATATATTTGCTGAGCTCTCTGAGGGTAAAATTCAAGGTTTGTGCAACGTAACAAAAAACACAATGTCAAGAAAAACACTGCTTTAAGGAGACGCAATGATCTAATAGGTTACAAATTCATAGTTTATACCTGCAAGAAAGCAGCTTTTGGGTTTTATTACCTTTATCAAGAGATGCCCCAGCCATATGGTAAAAGCTCAGTGCAGTGTCCACATCATTAATATTCTTTAGAAAAGTAAAGAAGTTCTCCACCTCCTGAAATGTCAGGCCCTGAAAAAGAAGAAACAGCAAGATTAAGCAGGAATATGTAACAAAAAGCAGCAAACATGTGAGGAACAAGGAAGTTATTGAAGTCTGTAAATCCTAAAGTTATGCTTATGTTTAAAACAGAGATGGAATGAACTACTCAAGGAATGTCAAATGTGTACATAATGTTGTTGTTATGTGCTGTCGAGTCGGCCCGACTCATAGTGACCCCTCCTTGGCTTGCCGAGGCAGTATCACTAGGGAAGTAGATTGCCCAACCTTCCTTCTAGGGAGTGGCTGGTGGGTTTGAACCGCCAGCCTTCTGGTTAGCAGTCAAGTGCCTTAGACACTATGCTACCAGACATAATAGGGGAACAAAAATAGAGTTTTATCCTAAGTGAGAAAGGCATATTGGCTAATCGCTTCTCCCTCAAACTCAAAACTTGACATAAAGCTGCTCATAGTGAATGATGGATATCTTTAATAAAAATATTTCTGACTGTGCTCTCCAATTTGCCACACTATATTGTGATGGGAGCTCTGGTGGCCTAGTGCCTAAGGCATTTGACTGATAACCAGAAGGCTGGCGGTTCAAACCCACCAGCCACTCACCCCTCCGCAGGAAGATTGGGCAATCTATTTCTGCAGTGATACAGCCTCGGAAACCCAAGGAAGGGTCGCTATGAGTCGCCGACTTGATGGCAGTGAGGTTTTTTTTTTTTTTTTTGTATCTATTGTGACACTGCCTAAATGGACTGTCACCACCTGATCTGTTAGACATCTTAACAAGACCAGAGTCTGGACTTCCATTTGAATAATCTGCTTACAGGCCAGCTAATCTTTTTGAGGCTTAAGCTCATTAAAGAATCACCAAAGTCAGTGATATGCAAGGGAAGGGTTTCAGTGTTTAGGAGAACCCAAGCACGGGAAAGCTGCTCATGATTTTAATTTAAAAGCTACTAATGGAGCAATCCTGATTGCATGTTTGGTCAATTTCAGACTGTAGAAGCTGATAAAATTCTTCAATTTCCTCATCTGTGGCTTTGGTGGTTGGGGCATAA